GTCCATTATAACATCTACAAAGACAGCATCCATGCTTTCAATAGGGAACTAGGCAAAGCTAGACGGACTTTCTTCTCAATTATTATAAACAGCAATATAAACAACACACGCACTCTTTTTGCTACTGTAGAGAGACTGACAAACCCCCCAAGCCAGATTCCCATAGAAATGCTCTCAGAAAGGAAATGCAGTGAGTTTGTTTCTTTCTTTTCTGAGAAAATCAATAACATCAGAAAGGTGATCAGCACATCCTTGAGTTTCTCTGGGGTCAGGCAGATCAGACCACAACCTGAGAAAGTAGTTAGTTACTATGTCTGATTTCGAAGAAATTGATGGCAAAATTTTGGTAGAAACCGTACAGCACCTTAAAACATCAAACTGTATGAAGGTAGATTTGTGTCTTTATTATTCAATCAAAAAAAATGTTGCTTCAATCAAAAAAAATATTTTCAATTAAAAAAACCTTCACTTCAATGAAAAAAAAACTTTTCAATCAAAGAAAAAAAGTATTTGAATCCAAAAATATATTTGAGACTCAAAAAAATACATTTGAACACTGCTTTTCTTTGATTGAAAATGTTTTCTTTGATAGAAGTCCGGTTTTTTTTGTTTAAAGCAACCTTTTTAATTAAAGTAACATTGTTTTTTGATTGGACCATATAATGGGTAGGACATTTGTGTCTTTATCATTCAATCAAAAAAGAAGTTGCTTCAAACAAACAAACAACAGAATCAATACAAAAGTCACTTCAATGAAAAGATAAACATTTTCAAATATAGAAAATCATTTTTGAATGCAAATAAAATATTTGAGACTCCAAAAATTGCATTTGAACACCTTTTGTTTTAATTGAAAATGTTCTCTTTGATTGAAGTAATCTTTTTTGTGTTTGGGCCATACATGGGTAGGACATTTGTGTCTTAATCATTCAATTCCAAAAAAGTTGTTTCAATCAAAAAAAAATATTTTCAATCAAAGAAAAAACTTTTCAAAAGCAAAAAAAAAATTATTTACCTCGTGTATAAAAAAAGTATTGAAGAGAATGTGTGTTTTCGTTGTTTTTGTTTTTTATTTGAAGTGAAAAAAATTTAGAATTTCAAATTGTTTTGATTGAATCCTTTTTTTTTTTTGAAGTGCAAAAAGTTTTGAAGTTCAAACTTTTTTTTTGATTGAATCATTTTGACACAAACGTTCCGCAGTGGGCGGGTGCTTCTCTGTTGGTCAGACATGTTTGATTGACAAGTGTCTACACCAACGACATCTTTCTGACAAAGAAGTCATGTTCGCCACTCGCCAGCAAGTTTTTACCCCTACAGGATATTATCTATTTATCATTTGATCTTGTGGCTCTAAGCATCGCGCCAGCCACACCAGCCACACGATCTCTCACTGTTTACTATCAGAAACTCCGATTAATACACGAGAGCACCCAGACAGTGTTATCCTGCTCTTGAGTACGGGCGTCAGTTTGGTTTGGTTTGAAATGTGCTGGGGGACGGAGAGACGTATTCGGAAGAGCATTTTCAAAAGTGCTGGGTACAATGACGCATTCATTATTTTTTTTCTCTTTCGAGTAGGCGCCGCGAGATGTTTCAAAAGTGGTGGGTACAAAATCGACCCTGGCAAAAAGTGGTGGGGACATGCATACATATCTATGTATTGCACTATGTGTGCTTTCGTGTAGCTACCATTAGGTGTAAATAGAGAGAGATCGTGTGGCTGGTGTGGCCGGCGCGACGCTTAATAGAGCCATGCGAGCGCACTCCCATACGCATAAAAAGAGCAAATAAAATATAATATAAGATGACAAAAAGGTCAATAAGAGATGGATTGCACGTTATTATACGCGCTCCAATACGGGCAAAAAGAACGAATAAAATATATGATCAGATGATAAATGTGTAAATAAGATCTGTATTGTAGCTACTGTAGGCTATGTGTGCTCTCGTGTAGGCCTACCATTAGGAGTGTCTGATAGGTGTAAACAGTGAGAAATTGTGGCTAGGCAGGTGAAAAGCGTTTGGTTAATGGTGAATATTGACCTATTGTGCGTACCGTTCTGTCGGGGAATATGCGCTGCATTTACTGTAAATATTGTGTAAGTTCGAGTGGCAGGCGCTATATAATGCAGTGCATATAAGGCACATATATCCGTGTCCGGTCGAGTAGCAGATCCCCCTGCCAGGCAAAGATTTTATCCCCTCTAAAAAAGCTGCTGGCGAGTGGCGAACATGACTTCTTTGTCAGAAAGATGTCGTTGGTGTAGACACTTGTCAATCAAACATTATCTGACCAACAAAGAAGCACCCGCCCACTGCGGAACGTTTGTGTCAAAATGATTCAATCAAAAAAAAGTTTGAACTTCAAAACTTTTTGCACTTCAAAAAAAAAAAAAGGATTCAATCAAAACAATTTGAAATTCTAAATTTTTTTCACTTCAAATAAAAAACAAAAACAACGAAAACACACATTCTCTTCAATACTTTTTTTATACACGAGGTAAATAATTTTTTTTTTGCTTTTGAAAAGTTTTTTCTTTGATTGAAAATATTTTTTTTTGATTGAAACAACTTTTTTGGAATTGAATGATTAAGACACAAATGTCCTACCCATGTATGGCCCAAACACAAAAAAGATTACTTCAATCAAAGAGAACATTTTCAATTAAAACAAAAGGTGTTCAAATGCAATTTTTGGAGTCTCAAATATTTTATTTGCATTCAAAAATGATTTTCTATATTTGAAAATGTTTATCTTTTCATTGAAGTGACTTTTGTATTGATTCTGTTGTTTGTTTGTTTGAAGCAACTTCTTTTTTGATTGAATGATAAAGACACAAATGTCCTACCCATTATATGGTCCAATCAAAAAACAATGTTACTTTAATTAAAAAGGTTGCTTTAAACAAAAAAAACCGGACTTCTATCAAAGAAAACATTTTCAATCAAAGAAAAGCAGTGTTCAAATGTATTTTTTTGAGTCTCAAATATATTTTTGGATTCAAATACTTTTTTTCTTTGATTGAAAAGTTTTTTTTTCATTGAAGTGAAGGTTTTTTTAATTGAAAATATTTTTTTTGATTGAAGCAACATTTTTTTTGATTGAATAATAAAGACACAAATCTACCTTCATAAAACTGCGCCCTTGACACACTTCCCACATCCTTTTTCAAAAGTGTGTTAAACTGTTTAGAAGCAGATCTCCTAGAAGTGGTAAATGCCTCACTTCGCTCTGGGAGTTTTCCGAACTCCCTGAAAACTGTAATTCGCAGTTACTGTAAAACTGTAAAAATGACAATAATTCGCCTGTAGGAAGGATGTATTGTCGCAAAGTGGTCATTCAACCACGTTGTCACACATGTGGTGGAGTAACAACTTTTAATGAAACTGTTTGAGGTCAAATTAATGTTAAGTGTTTTGATATAAATTACAGACATGGCATCTAATGACCATCTCATTTTTCTCAGTTATTTCGCTTTATATCCAGACACGTTCTTAGATGGTAGAGCACTTTCGCACATGCGTACTCTTCAAAAACGGTGCTTTAAATCTCGACAAACTAAAAGACGTAAATTACATTTGTATGTATTCTATTATAAAAGCCACAGATTGTACCGAATGTTAGTTTGCTTATTTGGTCAAGATAAGGATTATTTACTCCACATGTTATGCTTCAAACCACAGATGGAGATCTGTCGTTCCAAACACACAACTTTGCGATGCTGTTTGCAAATGTTCATTGGAACGATGGTTTCGGTAATCACCGAATCGTTGATGGTGATAACGACGGAACTTGCGACCATATTTGGCTTAAGATTCCTTCGGGAAACGCACCCCAGATTAGTGTTCATGTCATTAGGATTTAATCCTTCACAACTTATTTTTCTGACTGTTTCTGAAAAATTCAAAGTGTTCAAAGTTTGTTCAAACTTTGTTCAAAGTAAAATAATGGAACTAACCAAGATGGCACCAGTGTTTGCGTCAAGCCGTCTGTATTTCTGGACAATTTCTTTATGTATTTGTTGATATTTGTGTTTGTTTCATTCTCTTTGGCTCAATACTTTGCGACCCAGTCAAGTAAGGAAATACAGACTCGTAGAAGTAGTGAGTAACAATTAATAGTCTTTAGTTAGAAAAGTAAGTCTATTGCAGGCAGACAACAATGATGAAGAAGATGATGAAACAATGGACCACAGCTACTTTTGACACCCAACAAAACGTTATTTGTGACAAACACAGGTTATTAGTGGAGATGTCAGTCCATTTTCCGGACTTGAACTGTAATTTTAACTGTAACTGACGAGGAGGAGGACTTTCAAAGATTAAAAGTTGTAACTGCAGGAAATTCTTCATTTCTGAATCTAATTTTATGACACTTAGACAAATATAAATTACTTACCTTTCACTGTTCGATCTATGCACATAAATATGATTGTTAGATACTAGTTATGGGATTTCAAAATACTTAAATTTAAAAATAGAAGAACAAAGAAATGTGCATCAGGTAAGCTTTGTTTTTTTTTGTTTTTTTATTAATTTATTAAGCCACTGCAAACTTTATCGTTACATATTACATTTTTATACTATAATGGTGTCATATTCTGTGCAGGCAATTAGCTTAGTTGTAAATATGAAATCCTGACAATGTCACTGCTAAATAAATACCTTTAAGTATTGTGGTTTCCGCCATGTTTCTCAATGACACGCCCACAACTCGTAAAGATCGGGGCTTGAAGTAAATCCCGATCTCCCCACTCGTTTTTAAGACATTGTACTGGTGAATACAATCTTTACGAGAGGACTTGAACGCACCATCAGCATTTGACTGATCATTTGATCTAAAAACGTGTCAGTGTACATGAAAATACACGCTCCATGTTATATAAAACGCTTTAATTAGGACACTCATATGACATTCTTCAGAAATATAATTTATATATTTAATCATAATATATTTTCTGGAGAGGCCGACATTTTAATAAGGACCGAATGAAACTAACCTGTTTGTTCCTCAGTTTCTTCTTGTTTCACGCTGAACACTTCTTCAATCTTTATGTCTTCACTCTCCTCTTTAATCAACGCCATCTTTATAATAGTGTCATGTGAATCTCTGATGTTTCTCCAGGAGTTTTCCTGTGTTAAGATAATTTGTCATGTTTAAGATGAGAATAATTAAGAGAAACAAACTTATTTGATAGCGTGTGAACAGGCAGTCGACACATGCGCTCTAGAAAGATTAATTTTTGTCCTGTGTCAGCGCTATTTTTCTTTAGAAGTTATGAGCGATAATCATGTCTAAAAAAAAATCGTACAGCATGTATTCTAGTGTTGACCAAATTTGTGTCACGCACTGAACACGGACCCTTTACGTACATGTAAAACCAAAGTATACTTTGAGCTTTATTATGAATAAATTTGAATGAATGTGCAAGACTTCCAGTGTCGTAATTCAGTTGTGCAGATTATGTTGTAAACTGGTACGTTTTCATATTTAAATTATTATCAATCAAACGCATTGTAGCCTAATGCAAACAGTTTTACCTTTTACTGCAATTTAAGACGGTCGCACACAAGATGAAAAGCTCCATTACTAATGAAACACAAATCTCACAAAATAGCTTACTTACTAGGGCTGGGTAAAATGTAAAAAAAATAAATAAATAAATAAAAATAACATTTTACCCATATTTTTCCTTTAAAAAAATATTGCGATATCCAATGAATTCCTCTACCCGGAGAGGACACTGCCAAAAAAAATCACTATTTTTCACTATAGATCACTATCAAAATTTCTATTCCTAATTCCTAACCCTGTTCTATACCAACCACTAACCTATAAAAAATATTTTATTCATGCTATAGCATATGAAAAATATGTGCATGGTAACTATGGGGATATGTGAAATAGTTTTGTCATTTTTTTCCCTGATACTGTAGATGATCGGTAATTGACTGTTATTATCGACATTGCAATACTTGCAAGACATCGTTGGCATCATAAATAAGGCTCAAACTGATATGGGTGTATTGAATATATGGGCTAATATTGAAACAAATTAGGTTCTGGAAAAAAATAACACTTACAGAATTGTACAGTAAGTGCTATAAATGTGCTAGTACTACAAACTCGACTAGTGTTTTGGAAATGCAGTTCTGAAAATGCAGTCTCTGGTATTGCAGGATCATGAACTCTCTTCAAGAGCTTCAAAACATTCAGCGAACCAATTTTATATGGATTTGGTTCATTTTACTCTGAATTTCTTCATCACAACTTTTACCAGAGTCAGAAATAATTCGTGTTTAAACTGATTCACGATAAAGAGCGCGAAAAGAGACGGACCTTTTCTGTTACTCGTGCGTTTACCACTAAAAACCTGTAAACTACTTACTCACAGAAATGAGGCTCAGTAAAGCTAAATAAAGCACTATAATATCACATTATATAATCAATTCGCACTGCCCCTGAACACAATACAACTGTTTGTCGGCACTATATCTATTTAAAAACTTTAAATGTTTAAAATCAAACCTTTCTTCAGCCGATTCACAACAGACACAGCGAAGCGCGGCGCAGCCGTATGACGTCACAGCAACACACCAAAATAAAAGTCCTGGCCACAGGCTAAAATCACTAGTGCAAATAAATTTAGAGTATATACAAAACCATGTACACGATGTGAAATATGAGTTAAATTTATGTTTAAATACTTGCTGTCCAATGATGGCAACAACATAAAACAGAGGCAGAATGATGACTGATCGTTTAATGTTAGTTTATTCATTTATTTGGTAGGTTAAATCAGTCCAGGATTCTTCTACCCTTGCTGAACTCCCACGGATGAACTCCCACGGACTAATCACTCCTCTTGAGCTTCCAGAGTAGTCCTAGAGCAGTGTTAATTTTCTTACAGTCGCTGAGCACATCTTCACACTTGTGACGGTTTAAAACCGAGATTACAGTACTATTCACGCAGTAATTATAACGAGCAGCACTCATATATATATAGGATAACACTGATATAAGTGATCACCCGGATTTAGACCTACCTATATTATATTTATATAAAGCGTTCACAGGCAAATTTGCTTTATGTTTAGGTCTTGCTTTTATTTCCCCGGTGTCGAAATCAGGCAATAAATGTCAGGCAACACGATTCCCGGCTGCATGTCAATATCCATGGATCGCTGGATCTTTAGTAAGTTGTAAGGAACACTATATTGAGTCCAACATTTAGTTTAAATCGATAAAATTGTTCGATTTAGTCGCATTTCCGCAGTTTTCCCCTATTAAATCCAGTCACGCAGCAGATCTTTTGCCACTCGGTCAGGCTGAGGGGGGTTGTCACGCGGGAAAGTCACGTGTCAAATGCATTCCCTCTATACTGGATCTTGAAAGCAAAAGAAGGTGATGAAGGAAGCGCCTCATCACCAAACCGAAGATTGCATAGACATTTACATTAGCCTCACATACAGATATAGATCAATAAAACCTTCCTTTACGCAAGTACGGCACATTCGTTTCATAGACATGCCCAACTTCCCCAGAGCAGGCGTACTGAAACATAATGTCGTCACCCACTCCAACCAGTCATCCCTGAAACAATGTTTACTACTGAAGAGGAATCAAATAATTCAAAGCAATGTTGTTGTTGTTGTTGTTTTTATTCAGTTAATGTCCTTGTCATTTCTCTATTTACACTGTAGGATTTCACGGCAAGACAGAACATTATCTAAATCTAACATTTTGATTCTGATCCATTGAACAATTAAATGAATGAAAGCAAAATGAATTTCACATAGGTTTGCTGGTGGCATGACACCGAACAAGATTAAATCCCTTTCCAGAGGTGATTTTTGAAATTGCTCTCTCTCGGCAGACTCGGAACATTTAAGTTTCTTTCTGTGGGAAAAGGTTCGCAAATGATGTTTCAAGTCTCTTTGATAGGCTCGTCTCCAGTGTGAATCTCAAGGCTTCACTCCACAGTAAAGGCACATGAATGAATTCTCATGTGGTCCTTAAAGAGTCCTTTAAGTGAGAAACTCTTTCCGCACTTCTCACATGTGGACAGCTTCTCTCCGCTGTGGATTCTCATGTGAATCTGTAGATTCTCCTTTCGTGAGAAGCTCTTCCCACACAGATCGCAGGTGAACGAGTTTTCTCCAGTGTGAAGTTTCATGTGAATATTAAGGTTTGATTTTTGATTGAAACTCTTTGCACACTGTGGGCAGCTGAATGGGTTTTCTCCAGTGTGAAGTCTCATGTGGGCTTCAAGGCTTGATTTACGAATGAAACTGTTCCCACACTGTCGGCAGGCGAACGGCTTCTCTCCAGTGTGGATTCTCATGTGGACTTCAAGGTTGGATTTTCGAGCGAAACTTTTTCCACACTGTTGGCAGGTGAGATCACTTGTAGTTTTTGTCTTTACGGCTTTTTTTTGTGAGGACACCGTTTCTGTAATTGAGCAACTAACAGACTTTTCTCCAGTTTTGAAATCATGATCTTTCTCCTCCTGATTTTTCACTTCTAATTCCTCCAGTTCTGGACTCTCCTCTTTCAGCTGCATCACGTCTAAAGCAAAACAAAGCAAATTTAAGTTAACCCTTGTTTAAGCCAACAAAGGCCTTGTTTTGTATTAAGGAAGTGTTCTGGTCAATCAGTTCAGAAGATTTAGAATGAGACCTGGGGCCTGATGTATAAACGTTGCATACACAAAATGGGCATAGAAATGTGCGTATGCAATTTTCCATGCACATTTTAGGATTTATAAAACATAAACTGGGCATAAATATTTGTGTACCATGTGTACTCTCTAGACTGTGTGTATGCACTCTTTTACTAGTATGAGCAATACAAGAAAAAGTAAACAATGCATTATACTTTGTTTTACATTTAATATACATATTTAGATTAAATATGCCACTCTCACTAATGGAGTTCAGCACTGGGATTTCATGAAATCATCATGAAGTTACAACATAACATGAATTTAAATAGAAATGTTTGTTCTGGATGCTCTGCTTTTGAACAGTTTTCCTGTTGCATGGTACGCTTTAAAGGAGTAGTTCACTTTTAAAAAAACTTTTGCTGATAATTTACTCACCCCCATGTCATCCAAGATGTCCATGTCTTTCTTTCTTCAGACGAAAAGAAATTAAGGTTTTTGATGAAAACATTCCAGGATTTTTCTCCATATAATGGACTTCAATGGGAACCAGACGGTTCAAGGTCCAAAAGACAGTTTCAGTGCAAACTGTTCAAAGGGCTTTAAACGATTCCAGATGATGAATAAGGGTCTTATCAAGCGAAACGAGCGGACATTTAATAAATAAATAACAAACGTTTAAGTTTTATAAGCTCAAATGCTCGCCTTGCTCTGTTTTTGTGATGCACGTTCGTGACTCTCCTGTTTGAACTTGTTTATCAAAATGAACGAGTCTTTTTTCGAGTCATTTGGTTGATTCAACGAACGAAATGAACAAATTGACTCGAAAAAAGATTTGTTCATTTTGATGAACGAGTTTGAACAGGAGAGTCGAGCAAGGCGAGCATTCCATTATATGGAGAAAAATCTTGGAATGTTTTCATCAAAAACCTTAATTTTTTTTCGACTGAAGAAAGAAAGACATGGACATCTTGGATGACATGGGGGTGAGTTAATTATCAGCAAAAGTGTTTTTTTAAAGTGAACTACTTCTTTAATGTTTTACCTGCAGCAAGAACTCGATAATTCCATTTTGAATTGTGTTCCAAATGATAGATTGCATGTTCTGAGAAAATATTTCAATGATTAATGATGCGCACTTGACTGTCTAATGCTGGGTACACACCAGATATTTCGTTTGAAATTCTGTTTTTGTGTGGAAGAAGAACGCATGTCTGGCGAAAATGCAGACAGGGGGAAGCAAATCTGGAAGTTGTTATTGAAGAGTGCAGTGTTGCATCATGCAGTATTTGTCCTGTAAAGGCTACTGAGTAAATGTCTGTTACCGCAATGAATTTAAGGTCATTCCTATTTTATTTGTATGCATTTTAATCATTAACTTTAAAAGCACTCTTTTTACGACTAAAATATCAGTCAAGGTTAAAAAAGAAAAAGAAATGAATTCCCAAAAATTAAAAAAAAGAATAAACGGAATTTGGGAAAAAATAAAACAGATTTCACAGGGCCCTACCCTTCCGAAAGTCCTAGCTATGTCCCGATTATCTTGATGGTTCTACAGATTTAAGACCTGTGTAAAACCCTGCATATAATTCATTTTTCTCTAGTGAGTTGCTTTCTAATGATTTATAGTTATAGGCCGCCTGCATCCCCCCTCCCCTTATTTCCTTTTAAAAGGTGTTATTGATCAGTTTCGAGGTTTTTGAGAAGTTTTGAGGAGTTTGTCCATTATAAATAGGAAAGCAAGAGAATCAAATCTTACGCCACTTATAAACAACAAATATAAATTACTTACCTTTCATAATGGCTTTATTTAGGCAAATAAATATTATTGCTATATACTAGATATGGGGTTTAATGTTACACAGAATAGTTGTTATGTTCATGTTCAGGCTACTTCCATGTTATTTTCCTAATTGAATGAGCTACATGTCGTAATAACGAGTGTCCAACCTGGAAGTGGGAGTTTCTCAGATACTATTGAAGCAGCATTAGCATTAGTCTGGTCATGTGATCTTAACAAACATGTCTGTCCACATGAGAGGATCCGCTCCATGTCAAATAAAACCGCTTTAATGATACTCCTCAGAAATATCATAAAAGGTCCGAATAATAAGGACCGAATGAAACTAACCTGTTTCTTCATGTTTCACGCTGAACACTTCTTCAATCTTTAAGTCTTCACTCTCCTGTTTAATCAACGCCATCTTTATAATAGTGTCACGTGGATCCCAGATGTTTCTCCGGGAGTTTTCCTGTGTGTTTGGACAAATTTGTCACATTTAAGACGAGAATAATTAACAGAAAGAGAAATAAATCCACAGTAAATCTCTGTGTGTCTCTGTGTGTCAGTCAGAGAGAGAGATAATGGACTTAAATCAACTGACCAGACAAAAATCACAGAGAACTACAAACTGATAAAAGAATACAATTTTCTGACACTTCATTTGATTTATGGACTTAAATAGATAAACCTTTCATGAAAACATTGCAGTTGGTTTGTAAAAGTGTGTGTGTGTGTGTATCTGCTGCCAGGACTCTAGAAAGTTTCATTATGGATTGTATTTTCTAATGCAGTGTTTCCACTACAATGTATTCAGCGGCGCCACTGCAAAATCTTCACATGAACAGTAATATCACTTCATCCACTTACACAGCTAAAAGCACTGAGCCATAGCGTTTTGGAAATGCAGTCCTGAAACGGCCGCCTCTGGTATTGCAGGATCATGAACTCTCTTCAAGAGCTTCACACTCAGTGAACCATTTTTATGTGCATTTGGTTCAACTTCAAGAATTCGTGATTAAACTGTTGCGAAATGAGACGCAGATTTTTGTGTTTACTCACAGAAATAACGCTCATAAAAGTTAACTATACACAGAACTATAATATTTCATTAGATAATTCATTCGCAATGCTTGTGAAACCAATAAAATTATCAGAACGGACTTTATCAATTTGAAAACATTAAATTCTTAAAAACACAAACCTTTCTTCAGCAGATTCACAACATACGGCGCGGCCTTATGACGTTATAGCACCACACCAAAATAAAAGTCCCGCGTGACAGGCTAAAATGACTAGTAAGTGCACATAAATTTATGCTAAAAATTTAGCCGTAATTAAGACGTAAACTACAAGTTTCAATACATGCTGTCCTTTGACGATTGTTTGGTAAGGTGGTCAAATCAGGTTTAACTGATTATAGATTTAAAGAAATATTATGACGGGGGCAAAGGTGTTTTAGGGGAAATTAATAATAATAATAATAATAATAATAATAATATAACGTGCCTTTATCAGATTTTTCAGCTTTAAACATAACACTGCATGCATGTAGTTACAGTGCATCTATTTTTGGTGTTAAATTAAAAATTATAAACAATCTTAAAATCAAGAGTATATGAAGGAACAGAGTCAGTGACATATTTCAAAACATTTTAAGAGTCAGTCATCAAACACAGAAAGCAGAAAGACAGTGTGCTTTACAAAGCAGAAACAGAACACAGGAATATTCATCTTCAGGATGAACCTTGAATATTTCCACTTGGCTCCCAGGAGTTTTCCCAGTTTCTCCCACTGTAAGACAGCATACGTGTTATTACTGGAATATAAATACTGTAAAATAAGACCATAATTTAGCATACCATGGTATTGGTTTCAAAACATAATCCATATAATATATTTTCTACATTATTTTATTTAATTGTTTGAAAATGTAATTATTTACATTGCACTCAAAATGTGTCAGACATTAACCCATTCTTCACTGATTTGTGTTCAGAATCAATTATATTCTCGTTGCTCAAGACAAAAAACATATAATGCAGTTCTAAACAAAGGTTTGATAAAAAAAAAAAAGTAAATCCTTGAATCCAAGAGTGGTTGAAAACATTAAGGAATAGATCAAAATAAAAAGCACACATTTCAAATGTCTGAAGTCCTGGAGCGGTCACGGTGTTTCGAGATGCTGTTGATCATAGTTTTATCTATTGGGATTTGTGTAACTAACTACTGCGCTTACATTTACATTTTTTTTTTTTACATTTAATTTATTGAATGCATTTGTGTCACTGATCAAACTGCAACTTTTTGTTTATGTTGATGCTTATTATTTTTTCTAATGTTTCTACAGATAAATGTTTATTTTAGTAGTTTTCTCCAGATAACACACACCGTGTCCAGAGCAAGGACACCGCTGCACCAACACCTCCTCACTAACCTGAACACGAACAAACATGACGTTTACTTCAGCACATACCGTCTCAATTAGTGTTGTCACGGTACCAAAATTTCAGTATTCGGTACCAATACCAGTAAAAATTCACGGTTCTCGGTACCAATTTCGGTACCAAAGCTTAGTTTAAATTTACATATATTTAAGTGTTTATCACGGTTAAAAGTATGGAAACTGTACATTTGCATTATAAACACTTTAGAAAAAAATTAGATAAAATGACCTAAAATAAACAATAGCATACAATCACTGCTATCGTTACCAGTAACACCTGCTCAACACTGCATATCCAAGTCTAACATAAGAAGCATTATACATCTAATTATTAGCATGATTAACTTCACTACTATATTAACAGTAACACTTTACAATAAGGTTAACATTAGTTAAATGTTACTATATTAGTTAATCTTTGGTAATGTTAGTTAGTTAATAAAGATCCAGCTGTTCATGTAAGTTCACAGTGCATTAACTAATGTTAAAGGTCCCCTGACATGAAATTTTCACTTTCTGAGTTTTTTTAACATTAAAGGAGTTAAAAAAAGAAGTTCACTTTAAAAAAAAAAAACTTTTGCTGATTTAAAATTTTATTTGGCTACATTTGGCATGGAACGTGTACATATAAATACAGAAATACATTGCCCTTTTGAATATACTCCCAAACGTAGGCATGTTCAAGTCACAACTAAACCATACGTTTACTTGTGCATTCTCTCATTGAAGAGGAATCAAATAATTCAGTGCAATGTTCATTATTTTATTCATTTTTACCCTTTATCTCCACTTACACTGTGGCATTTCACAGCAAACATTTTAATTCGGATGTATTAAACAATCAATTAAATAATTTTGCAACAATTTTCTGGTGGAATTTAGAATTGTCAACCCAACTGTATCTGCAAGCGTGACTAAAAATAATTAAAAAATAAAATAATATTCGACCCTGAGCAAGATTAAATCACTTTCCTCCAGAGAAAATTTACAGGTGATTTTAGATATTGCTTTTTTTCCTCTTGGCAGCCTTAGACCCTGTAGGTTTCTTTCTAGAATGAGTTTGCGAGTGTTGTTTCAAGTCTCTTTGATTTGTGAAACTCGCGTCACACTGAGGACAGGCAAAAGGCTTCTTTCTAGCGTGACCTCTTATGTGCCTCTGCAGGCTTGAATCGCTTAAGCATGTCACTCCACAGTGAAGGCACATGTGAGGCTTCTCTCCGCTGTGTGTTTTTACATGGTTCTTCAGCTGGTCGCTGTCAGTGAAGCTTCGTCCACACTGATGACATTTCTCTCTCGAGTGAATCCTCATGTGGGTTTCAAGAGATTGTTTAGACCTGAAACTCTTCCCACACTGGTCACATGTGAACGGCTTCACTCCGGAGTGAATTCTCATGTGAATCTGTAGATTTCCCTTTAGTGAGAAACTCTTCCCACACTGGTCACATTTGAACGGCTTCGCTCCGGAGTGAATACTCAAGTGAATCTGTAGATTCCCTTTCAGTGTGAAGCTCTTGCCACACAGGTCGCAGGTGAAAGGCTTCTCTCCAGTGTGACGTTTCATGTGGACATTCAGGTTCCCTTTTAGAGTGAATTGTTTCCCACACTGTGGGCAGGTGAATGGACGCTCTCCAGTGTGATCTCTCATGTGGAGATTGAGGCTTGATTTTTGAGCGAAACCGTTTCCACACTGTCCGCATGTGAACGGCTTTTCTCCCGTGTGAACTCTCACGTGGACTTCAAGGTTTCGTTTTTGACCGAAACACTTTTTACAATGTCGGCATTTGAACGGCTTCTCTCCGGTGTGGATTCTCATGTGGCCTTCAAGGTTTGATTTTCGAGTAAAACTTTTTCCACACTGTTGACAGGGGAAATCACTTGTAATTTTTGTCTTCACGGCTCTTTTTTGTGAGGACTTTGTAATTGAGCGACTAACAGGCTTTTCTCCAGTTTTGAAATCAGGATCTTTCTCCTGCTGATTTTTCACTTTGTTAACCTCCAGTTCTGGACTCTCCTCTTTCAGATGCATCACGTCTAAAGCAAAAACAAAAGCAAATACAAGTTAACCCTAGTTTAATGGCACGAACAAAAGCCTCGCTTACACCTGGTAATAAGAAGTGTTCTGGTCAATCAGTTCAGAAGTAAATGAGGGAGACACATTCAAGTTTTCACCTGAGGCCTGATGTGTAAACATTGTAAAAATAATTCAGTTTAATTCACTTCACCCGGTCCATTATAAGGCTATTCAATCAGATTAATTCGAGGACTGGATTATTAAATCTAAAGGTTGAGGTGGGCCAGTTGGTTTAGCTTATTAATTGAAACATTATTTATTATTTATTCAAATATAACATTGTATTTATACAATAAACCTTAAAAAAAGTATTGTATTTACTTGGAAATTGGTAAATACATTGCTATTAAAAACAAATTGCTATTCTATTGGTAAGAATTATTTTATTTATAATTATTATAGGCTTAAACGAAGATATTCTGACAGTGAGTCTTGGTAACCACAGGTAAAACCATGCATGTCTACATGCCTAAACACATGCAGGTAAAACTCAAGGTAAGACACCTTCAACAACATGTCTGCTGCCATGAGGCTCAATAGTTTCTGAAACTTTTTTTAGGGTAAGGTTGTCCACGACAATGAATGACGCCACCAACTAAGGGGGAAAAGCATTCGACATGATTAGCGTCGTTAGATTTAATCAACGCGATTTACAGCAACCGTGCAAATTATAGCCAACTTTGTTCTCAAATTGTTCATGTCAACAGCATCAGCATTGCGTGACTAATGTTAAATTTAATGTGTTTTATGGTTACCTGTAGTTCAGAATTCATATTCTCCATAATAGCAAAACGAGAAAGGCAAAACAAAGGAAACTCCATAACTGTGTGAATTAAGCAAACGTACTGTTACACGATTGAACTATTGAAATGTCTTACTTGTTCAGCAGAAAAAAGCCGTCTCTTCTTCCGTTTTGAAACCCTTCACAACACAGAGTTCAAAAGCCATTTTTTACAAGTTCAAAAGCACGATGTTTAAATCCTTGTGTTCGCATGACTGTAGCCGAAACTGCTTCTTTATGTGTACGAGTGTGACGTAATGACGCAAAGACATGCTCGAATTTCCCGCGGAAACCCACCAGTACCACCGGAATTAAAATCATTATTACAAGCTATCCGTTTTTTTTTAATATAATTATTTTGGATTATTTTTAACTTAAAAAAAGTTAAGGACTGCAGCTTTAAAATGTACTCGTTTTCTGTGCTCTTATAGATTGGCCAAAGAGGCGCAGAGGACAAGCCCAGAGTCAGCGAGGAGATGATCTTCGTGCTTGAAGGAGAATTATTTTTCTAAAAGCCAGTCGGCCCTGCTGGTTGTGGCGCCACCCAATGGTTTCAATCTTATTTCCTTTTTAAAGTTGTAATTGATCAGAGTGAGTTTTGAGGAGTTTATCCATTATAAATAGTGTCCACTGCAGCAAGTCCTTCATTTCTGAATCTATGTTTGTGACACTTAATGGTACGAAAAAAAATTATATTTGCGGTAAATCAAGAAAACAAGATTAAAACAAAAAAAGACTAACTATGTTGAGCTGTATAACATTGGTTTTCTCTCAATGAATATATCCAGAGTTGCTCATAGTGTAGCTTTAATGAGTACATGTCGTAATAACGAGTGTCCAACATGGAAGTGGGAGTTTCTCTAGAAGCAGCATTAGCATTAGCATTAGTCTGGTCATGTGATCTCAACAAACATGCCTGTCCACATGAGAGGATCCGCTCAAATAAATGTCAAATAAAACCGCTTTAATTAGGACAAATTTAATTCATTTCTGTAGATGATTTTAATAAGGATAAAAAGAAGATAATGAATCTAACCTGTTTGTTGCTCAACATCTTTGGGTTTCAAGCTGTACACTTCAGTGATCTTTATGTCTTCACTCTCCTGTTTAATCAACGCCATCATTACGTGGATCTCTGATGTTTCTCCAGGAGTTTTCCTGTGTGTTTGGACAAATTTGTTAAGTTTAAGATGATAATAATTTAGAAATGAAATAAATCCACAGTAAATATCAGTGTGTCTCAATCAGCTCTGGTGAGGGAGTCAGTCAGAGAGAGAGAGTTCATGGACTTAAACACAGAGAACTACAAATTTATAAAATAATACAATTATAATGACATTTCATACATATCGTATTGACTACAATGAATTGATTAAACTTTCAATAAATGTGACCCATGCTGGCAAAAGGAGTCGGAATGAGCAAAAAATAAATACATTTATTTTTCACATTTTCTATTAAAAAACATCAAAATGATGTATTATTTGTTGGCATCAGACAAAGAATGACTGAGCTACACCCGTCTCAAGTCGATAGAGTCAGCAAAGACAATTCAAAGTTTCCTTGACGGCTCCAAAACAAAATCAGCTCTGAGTGCCGGATAACAACACCACATTTGGCACACACAGAGTCAAAACAATATCTATAGGAAAAAAATACAGTAATTTTTTTCCCCCGATGACACCACAATTGCTTGATTTACATTCACTTATTTTAAAATTTTATTTAACAGACAGCTACAGGATTAATCAACAACTTTTTTTGTGAAAACCTCAAAATCGACAAATTCACTTGTTTTACCTGTATCTCGAAATTACCCTGTGTGCATTCCGGCTCATTTAACTAGCATTAAACTGGCACCAGAGCACATAAAGTCAGGGGGCATGTACAAATTGTGGGCAGTTGGTTTAATATAGCAAAACTATATTTTTAATAAAGTGCAAATAAATACACTTTTAAAAAAGAACCTGAATTTTCACTCCAAGTATATTATTCTAAAATATATTTTAAAGCATGTTAAAAGTTGTATTGTGAAAATTGGTAAAACCATGATGCTAATACATTTAAAATGTTTGTTAGTAAATTTGAATGAGAGGAAATAGCTTACTTTCCTTTTTCTTTCCATCAAAACTTAATCTTAAACCGGAATATATGGGCTCATATGATGATACAAATTTGGTTAAATATATCAAGACGTCTACCAACGGTTATGTTTATGATATGGAGAAAATATTAAATTTAATCCATTTACTGAAAATGAATAGCACAAATACAGTACGTGCTATACTGGTACTAAAAACTAGTGTACAGTAAAGTTACTGTCCTAAATATAAGCTCTCATACTGCAGAAACATGAACTGATTATGTCTATTTGAAAACTTTAAATGCTTAAAAACTCAAACCTTTCTTCTTCAGCAGATTCATAACAGACGCAGCGTAGCGCGGCGCAGCCGTATGACGTCACAGCAACACAGCAAAGTAAAAGTCCTGGTGACATCGCTAAAAAGCATAGAAATGTAGACTATACAAAAACACATACAAGAAATAACGTAATAAATACAAGTTTAAATACATGCTGTATGGTAACAACATGAGACAGACTGATCGTTTAATGTAAGTTTATTCATATATAGACCATTTCACAAGATGTAAACAACACTGGTCCAGAAGCACTTCCTGTTTCAGTTTTTTAACACTACATAAAAGCTGGGATAAAATACAACCAACAGAACATTTAAAACTGAATCAAAAAGTTAAACAAACATCTTTAAGATGTTTTCTTTACATGTGAAATAAAGAAAACAGTTACAAACTGAAACAGGAAGTGCTTCTGGACCAGTGTTGTTTACATCTTGTGAAATGGTCTATGGGGGACGGTTCCCAGATAGCAAACTGACATTGAATCAACGTGGAAACATGACATCGAAACAACGTTGATCTGACATTGTTTTGCTTATCGAATTAACGTTGAACCAACGTCAGACGCGGCATTCTTTCAAAACTAACGGAAAATCAACTTGAAATCAACGTTGTTTCAATGTTATGAAAGCAAACCAATTTTCGATTTTCATTTAGCTTTGAAGAATGCCGCGTCTGACGTTGGTTCAACGTTAATTCGATGAGCAAAATCAACGTTGTTTCAATGTCATGAGAGACGTCGTTTCCACGTTGATTCAATGTCAGTTTGCTGTCTGGGTTATGTGCATCTCTGTGCCAAACTTCACCTGAGAAATTCAAAACATATTCAGGTAAACACCATTTAACACATTAACACCATCTCATTTTTTACTTCTCCATGTAGGCTACTTCAAAATATTGGCAACACCCTTTTATTAACTCTGAATCTGAATTACCATGGACAGTGTACACACTGCCGTTAAACATTTGTCTTTAAAACACATTTAATTAAATCATTTTAAATATTAAATTGTGTAACAAAAAGAGGTTATTTCTTGTTATTTAATACCATTAACAAATATTTCTTTGAGAAAAATAAAAATGTTCCATGTACTGTATGTCCTTCATGAACTGTAGAAGTTTATTTAATCTTTAATAAACTGCTGAAAACTCAATGCTATGAGAGATCCGTCGGCTATGGGTACGAGAGATGCACGCTCATCCCAAAGTCAGAAAATTCAGGATAATTTCCTTACATGCAAAAATCATTCCTGATCAAAATCTGAGAAGAATTAACCGTCTCAAGATGAGACAACAAAAACAAATGCAAAGACGGCCCAACAGAAGACTCGCCGAACGCAGACGTATTTACGGTTTTGCCAGAACAGGAGGAATCCAAATCTAAACTTTACAAAACAGGATTGAATCCCCGAAACTCAGTGTTTGACGAATTGACACGGGATTTGTCAGACTCGGTAAACCATTGCAAGCTCTGACAGAATGCCAACAAATATGAGTGTGGTGAATCGATAAGTTAATATAGGCCTACACCAGCGGGGATGGGCATGATTAATCGACGATCGATTATTGATCATTAAGAATTTCGTCGATCACGTTAATTTGTTATCGATTATCATTAAACTAATGCTGCTGTGTTGCGTACTGTGAGTGGAAAGTGAACGTGTTCCCCGGGCTGGTCATGTTAGCGCGGAGGTCTGTGCATCCCGCCGGCAACGTCAGTCCCCTCATCAGAGCGGTGTTTTCAGCGGCTGGACTGTATGGCGCTCGCTTTGTGTCATTTCATTCATGTTTAAAAGACGTGTTACCGTGCGTATGATATGGAACGCTAAATGGCTCACAATTCGCCACTTTCCTACCGCGTTTTGTTAAATAAGGCCGTAAAAAGCGGCATCCTGGCCGCCCAAACGGCGCTTTTTACGCCGTCAAAAAGTGAAACGCCGTCAAAAACGCAGTGGAATACATCAATGACGCTGTATTTACTGTGCATGGGAGGCGCCGCTTTTTACGCCGTTCATCTTGCCAAATGACGGCGTAAAAAACGGCGTTTTGGTTAAAAAGAGCGCACGTTATTTTACAACGTTTTGCTAATAGTATAATGAGCCACACCCACTGTTTTACACAGCCAGTGAGTTTGAACTGTTCTCTCCCAATCAATGATGAACTGAGTCAGACCAGATCAATTCAGCACGGATCATTCATCATTAACACTAGAAGTGCCAGAATTCCAAAACTACTAGAACGGCCACAAACGGTCATTTTGACCGTTAGATTCAAAACAGTGTTTATTTTGTTGATGAATAATTTTCGTAATTATTTTCGTCAACCACATTTTTTCAAAGACGAAAACGAGACGATAACTAAATAAAAACTAGGTTTGAATGACAAAAACTATGACGAAAACGTTAGATAGTGACGATTAAGCAGTCAATAGGCTAATAATAATTATAGAGCAGAACTATTGACGCGCAGGATCTCGGCCTGGTTCAGGGGCCTGAAGCGACACAGCACTTTAATATTGCACTCAGCTACGGTATGCTACACATATCGATGAATCGGATGTCCAATCCAGTGATATTGCCCCCCCTACCCCTTCTCTTATTCGCTTTGCGGTGGGAGCTTTGAAATCTGTTTTTGTGTCATTACCGGAATGTTGCTTTCTTCATTAAGATGATAAAATCATATTCTTCAGGGACTCTGCTACTCTGATATAACTAACCCCCCAGCGTGAGTTTTTCTAGGCAACCGTTTCTAGGCAACCTTTATGTTTTTACTCAAAAGTAGGGACAATGTAAAGTTTATGTAACAAGTAGTGCTGTCAGTTAAACACGTTATTAACGGCGCATAAAGCAAACCCATTTTTAAGGCGTCAATTTTTTTATCGCAAGATTAAAGGGATAGTTCACTTTGAAATTAATTTTTGATGTGTTTTAGCTTACCTCAAGGGCATCCAAGATGTAGCCCAGATAGCAAACTGACATTGAATCAACGTGGAAATATGACATCGAAACAACGTTGATCTGACATTGTTTTGCTCATCGAATTAACGTTGAACCAACGTCAGATGCGTCATTCTTTCAAAACTAACGGAAAATCAACTTGAAATCAACGCGTTGTTTCAACGTTATGAAAGCAAACCAATTTTCGATTTTCATTTAGCTTTGAAGAATGCCGCGTCTGACGTTGGTTCAACGTTAATTCGATGAGCAAAATCAACGCTGTTTCAATGTCACGAGAGACGTCGTTTCCACGTTGATTCAATGTCAGTTTGCTGTCTGGGAGGTGTCTTTGTTTCCAAAGGTTTAGGTCAAACCGTTGTTGTCTGTTAGTCATATAATGAAAGTCTATGGGGACCTCCTAAAACATGTACAGTATGGTTCTGTCTCACATTACTTACTGTTTTACAACCTGGTCACAGGCAAATAAAACAACACTAAAATCTTTAGAGTCACTTAACAAACAGACAATTAAAATTCTGGATAAAAAGCCCTCAAGTTATCACCATTGTGCCATTTTACAGAAGCATAAGCTTTTAGGTTGGGAAAATGTCATCAAGTATTCAAATCTTTGTCTGTTATACAAAATCATCCATGGTCTGTCATCCCCTCCACTCAGTCAGTTTGTAAACATTGGAAACACCACACAGAGAGTAACACGAGGGTCGGCCCGAGGAGACTGTGTTGTTCCTCTGCGAAAAAGTGCATTTAGTCAGAGTGCCTTTTCAGTCACAGCAGCGCAGGAGTGGAACTCTGTCCCTCAGAACATCAGAGAACTCACCACATAGAGAGCTCTCTATTCAAAAAACATCTGAAAAACTGGTTCATAACACATCAGACATGTGAGCATTAATAAGACTAGGTATCGTCACTTAATCCAACGGTACTGCGGATTATGTCTATGCTGGGTCAGTGTGTAGTATAATTTTTATAAATTGGTATCAATTTTAACAATGTCTATTATAGCAAGTGTGTACACTGTATTTATTAGGACTGAAGAACTATATCTGGTTTACGGTTTTTTATATTTGTATTGTTCATTGTAATCTTTTATTGTTGTTCATTTTAGGTAGACAATTTTAAGATCTGTCCAGGGACAACAGATGAAAAATAGCCTTTTGGCTAATTCTGGTGCATTTACAGTAATGTCAATTAATGTACATTGTCCCTGTCAAATAACTAACTAAATAAATAAATAAATAAAAGAGCACGCACAGAGAAGGCCAAATTAAACACGATTTAATGACTTAAATGTAAGTGCACTGAAACTGTCTTTTGGACCTTGAACTGTTTGGTTCCCAAAAAAGTCCATTATATGGAGAAAATCCTGGAATGTTTTCATCAAAAACTCCGGTTATAAAAATACCCATGTCGAGGCCTAAATCCATGGGATCCATAAAGTGATACTATGATCAATAACGGTTGCCTTGAAAAACTTTAAAAATTACGTGTGAAAAAGTTAAGAAAGGCTTACATTTAATTTGGTCTTCGTTTTGGGCGTATGGTCAATAAATAAAGGAATTAGAAAGATGGGCACAAAACCTGTTTGTCACGCCTCACTTGTCATGTTTCTATTCCCCACCAGTGGGCCGCGTTCGCACCCGCACCCCACACTTTGAGAAACGCTGAGCTAACTTAGCAATGGACTACCTCCGTTTGGCCAGGATTTATCCCCTTTTTGGCTGGTGGGGGATACATTGCTGATTATTTCAAATATGATATGATCTTTCTTGCTGGCAAATGCATTTAATAAAAAAAATGAACAAAAGTATTCATTTGGAATATTCATATTTATTTTAATCTGATTGATGTGATGATGTTGGGGCTGTTATATTAGCTGGATCTGATTTTTGAGGGGGTCATGACCCCCGTAACCCCTGTGTAAATTATAACATTCTCCCTAATATGTGCTGATGTTAAATGAAGGCAAAAGGCATTGCTTGTTTCCCACAGAAACCTGATCCAGGTCAAGCTCATGTGGCATGAAAAGGATGTTGCATCCTGGTTGTCTTCTCTCTGATGTTGGTCCTTCATTCCTAGAACCTGACAAACTGTCCTT